AAGCAAGAGTTGCGGAGGTTATGTTTCTGTTTGCTTTCTTTCCGCTACTTCCAATTCGGGGTGTGTCATTCTTTCTGTGTGTGGTGTTGATGTTGTTGATGTTAGTGTTGTTGAGGCTGATGTTGGCTTCAAATGAGTCGTTCGCATCTCGCGTTGGTTCTCCCGCCCGTAACTTCCTCCCAACTCCCGCTGCTCATTTCCCTTGGCCTCTTGCTAATGTTGGTCCTCCACTCGTCACTCATACGCCGGCCCGCCGTTGGACGCGCCTCTCAGAGCCTACCTCATCGTGTCCTTCTTGCACCGCGTCATTGGTGATGAGGCAAGTCGTACAACCTACATTCCACGCTCAACCAGCTCAACCAACTCCTTGAATGGAGCGGTTGTCACCGCATGATAGGCTTTTGGTAACGCCCTTGATTACCGCTGAGAACCATTGCTCNTAACCGGTCAAACTCTTGTTTACCTCTCGTTCCTCCTTGTCGGTGGGCTATCCGCATATCGGTAATTCCTCTGCAGCATTGTGCTATTGACATTCTTCGGTGTGTCCACGCTTGTGCACGTTTCGTTGACGTTCACTCCTCGGTGCACGCTTGTCGTTTGTGCTGCCGATGAGCAGGGAAAGAACGAGCGCTATATGTCTTTGGCCGTGAATATTGCTTCCAAGCTTCGACCAGAGGACGTGCCAAAGGTGACTAGCGCAAGATATGGTGCATGTATGCCACAGTGGGCAGAGGGTGTGTCGTAGATTTTCCATCGCATGACCTGTTCATGTTGCCTATGCTGGTGTTGGTGTTGGTGTTGTGCCTGGCGGGCAGGTTACCGTCCGCTCATGCACGCCACTCACACCATCATTGCCAGTGATGATGGGGCATTGCTTGTAGGCTTGACGGCCCTCGGTGCATCGAGCATGATTGATTGTCGGAAGTTGAGGCCCTCCTACCCCGATGGCCATACAGGAACTGTGGCTAATGCTGATGACCACGGACAACTTGAGGGTGTCCGCGTGTAACCCGCAACCAGGGGACGATCTCAGCACTTCCTGCGACGAGGCTCTGGAGCTACCCCAGGTAAGTGAAACAACAGCGGGATCCCCAACAAAATAGTTAATTTCGTGAACCGTTTGCATATGGCCTCTTGCTCGTTTCGTTGGGTCCGTTTGGCCTATTGGTCCTACGTGGGTACGTGTGTGACGGTTTCGCATGTTGGATTTTCAGGGTTTCTGGGTTTGGATGCTAGTCTCCATTGCTGGTGTTTCCCGTGTGTCGTCTTGTGCATGTCATCTCGACGGGTGAACTACTGTGCGACGGCTGGCCGTGTAGACTAGATGCAATCTGTCAGCCATGTCTTTTTCTAGTTCATGACCACAGGGTATGCGCCCGAACTCCACGCTTCGGCGGCCGGTACTGCTTTGTGGCTGTGCCTTCAAATGGTCACACCAAGTCTATTTCAACCCCTCATGCGATTCTTCCCTCGTACGTGCGGTACCACCCGTACAATCGCAACCTGCGCTAGCAGGTGCGGGAGGCTCAACACCCCTTGACGCCGACGGACGTCAGCAACGTGTTCCTTGCGGCGGACAGCCTGCTCAGTCAGGCATTCGTTGCTGACATGACGTCGGCAGGAGCGATTACTGCATCGGGAAGAGGCGCGGCACCCCACGAGGAGAATGGGGAGCCTGCTCTCGGCGACTCCTACCGAGAGCTCGGAGGCGGTGGGGTGATGGAGGAGGGTGGCAAGCAAGTGCGGAGTGCGGGCGTGGCCTGTGATGACGAGGAGCTAGCCAACAGGTTGCACCGTGAACCAGACGTGCCCCCGACGGGACCCGCTATGAAGCGCTTCGCCCGGGAGGCTCTGCCAGAGATGACGAGCTTGGCGAAGACGCTGGAAAGGTGGGTGACGGTGACATGGCCGTCAACCGCTGCGAGAGCTCATTGCTTCCGTGGATGGATTGGCGATGAGCAGGTTGGCTCATCACTTTTGGCGCAAGCTCAAACAAGCCCGAAGCACCATGTCGCACTGGCACCGCCTAGGTTCGAACAAGCCCTCGTGTATGGGTCGTTTACCATGGTGGCCATGGTGGGTTGAGCCTGCCGGTACGACACTCACCGCTATGCCTTCCAGCACATTGTCAAACAAGCGAACCATTTCCCGCGCTGGGTATCTTTTCAGAGAACTCTCTCGTTGTTTACGTGAGCGACAAAATAAAACAGCATGTCCTTTGAATAGGTTTGGTCCGTGTAGCTTTTCAACCAACGTCGGCTGATGCGATTTTACCTGCGCCCACACTTGCTTTTTGCGCCCTGTGCTCCCCGGCACACGGACTGCACAATCCGTGCCGTTGCTCCCGTCGCTGCCGTGGTTGTAATCTTGCTGCTATTGGAACCTTCGGGCTACCAGTTCCGACACGTGCTCGGGCGTCGGTGGTGTTCTCTATCACGGGAGAGTGAGTGGGGGCCGTCGGTTGAAATCCTCGACGGACAGCATTCCGGCGTTTCCAAGAGCATTTACCGTGGCTGCGTGCGAACAACACCCCTTCTGCTTGTTTCATTAGCTGCTGTTCTTGGGTTCGGCTACGGCTCGTTCATGGCTTATGTGCCAACCTTTACACAGGCGCCAGCTCCGTCCATCCGTAGACACTAGGACCCCCTTCATGTGCTACACTGCCCGAAATGCTCGCCCGTGTGTCCTTCGTTTATTGCGCGTGCGCGTGTGCTCCAACCCTTGGGCTTCTCGCATTCGCATCGCCCCTCCTTGCC